TCTCTATTTTAAAAACCTTTTATGTTAAAATTCTCTTAGATGAATTATCTGTTCCTTATATTCTTTACAAATGTAACTCTTCTTACTCTTCTCTTTGCTATCAATGCAATCAAATTAGTTCTTCATTATACTAGATTCTTTGTCCTTTTACCTAAACAATTTATTACTTAATCTCTAATTCTCTTAATTGCATCTTAAATGCTACTGCTCTTGATATGTCTACTAATTCCGTTTCTAATTTATATCAAGAAATTCTTACATCTAACAGTTTTAAACTGCACAACTTTTCTTATATACTATCACTTATTTCTACTTTATCTGGCTTAGTTCCTATTAACCTTATTTCTACTATTCATAATATTTCTATTTTTTATTATATAGCTACTTCTCTTTCTATTAAATTTCTCCTTCATTTAAACCAACAAATATATAAACAAATATGGATCCCATATTGTATTTTATTTTTAGCACAGTCTTCAATTACATCTTCTACAAACTTAATTCATAATTCTCTTTCCAGTCTACTATTACCTCCTATCTTAATATCACAAATTATTACTAAAATTGATCTTTGAACTATCCAATGGATTAAATATCATACTCCTATCTCATATATTATTACTAACATCCAAATCTAGATGAACCTTAGTTACTCTTGTAAGTTTAGATCACAGATTATATGTCTGAGTCTTTATTCTTCATATGTAATTTAAAAGCAAGCTTTTCTTTATAAAAACTTCAATTGAATTTCAATAAAATTAAAAGCATGGCCTCACCATTAATATTTAAAAAAAAAAAAACAAATTATATTGAAAAATGCAAACTGGTATTAGGTAATACAAATTCAAAATAAGTCCTTATAGTTATATAAATTTGTAAACTAAAAAGCCAGAGCCCACTTAAGAAGACCTGAGTAGAGAGATAGCACAGAGTTTTGACAGTATTACTGTAAAGACTAGATCTAGAAAATAGATACCAATATGAAAGAAATCAGGCAAACAAAAACCTTGGATAAGAGATACTATCAACCAGACTATCAGAAGTCTTAAACCAAAGAAAAAAAACTTTAAAGCTAGACCCTAAGGTACCAGAGACAGGTCATAGTTCTTTCAGACTATCTGGATTGGAAGTCTGAGATTGGAAGCAGGAGTATACTATAAGTACTAAAAATATGTTATAAATCAGTACTAGGGTCTGAGTAAACTCTGTAAAGATGAACTCTGTTAACAAAAAGATTAAATATGAATAATTAGTTAACAGAAGGACTTTTTAGAACCTTACAATCAGGTAACATACTCTGAAATATGTAATGGCTTTACAGATGTACAGAAAGAAAGGTCAAGATTAGATTAGATAGCATTTAGATGTACAGGAACTTATATGCTATTTGTCAGTGTAAGTATAAAAATCAGAGTGTTTAAAATAGATAATCTCCTAGTAGATTACAAATATGATAGCTAATATAAAACCTGCTATGTGGCCAGACTATTTAAAATAGACAACCAAAAGTTGTACATGTGACTAGTTGTATATTCACCTTATACAAATTATATAATTATAATTAAAATACAATAAAGACAATAGCTACCAATAATCATGATCTTAGTGAAAACAAAAAAAAATTTTTTTAATACATAGAAGTTTATTAATATTTTAAAAAAATTTTTATAATAAAGTTTATAAAAAATGTTTTAAGAATATATTTCATAAACTAAGTATATCTTATATTATTAATAAATTATTATTTTATTTAAAAAATACTAAATACAATTTAATTTTTCAGACAAATTTGTCTAGAAGTTTTTTTTTTTTTTAAATATTAAAGTGAGTACTTGTGACTCAGAATTTTTTGATAATATATTTGGCTAATGGTTGCTTTACAACTACAGAAGGAAACTATGAAAAAAGTATACAACTAGGCACTTGTACAACTTTAGTTATTGTCTAATTTAAGTAGTCCACCTGAAGATTCTATATTAGTTGGCATATCTGGAACTTGCCTATAAGTTCTCTATTTAACTATTTTAGTTTTTGTATTCACCCATCACCTCTGTCTACCAACAACCCTGGCTGATGCTAATGAAAATATGTTATAGTCATTAAGTCTTTAAAATAGTTTACTCATATAAAGAACCTTTGACCTTGTACTAAACCTTTCAGAATCTTCTGTATCTTATTCTTATAACTGACCCAGTATTGCTATGACTAGTGATAGGCAATATACATAGCATATGCATTTTCATACACATAATCATATGCATAAATTTATAGAATCATATACATGATTTTTATATATACTTATAATGCCAGTAAAGTAATATATATAATGCTAGTAGATTATATAATTATTATGCATAGATTTATTAATATAGTAAGTATTATTGCTTATTACTATTACTATGTATATGATTGATATGAAGTTCTAAGATTTTTTTATATGTATTTTAATGCTAAGAAACCACTATAATATGAGACAGAATTTTTAATAGATTCTGAAAACTTCTGAAAACTTATAAATGATTCTGAAAAATTCTCATGTGCATTTATGTGTATTTTCATGCATATAATGTACATTATGCACATCATATACATAAAATGTAAAAAAATTGAAATTTTCATATTATTAACTATGACTGAGACCAACACTGGCAGTCAGAGCATATTATTAAACCACTATGTCCTTGTAGAGTTCATCCTAATCCTGGTATTGATTTTATAACATATTCCTACTACTTTGATATTCAATTTAAGTTCCACTAAGCTCCCAGACCAAATAGCCTAGAAAGGCAGATTGTAACCATACATCTCTGATTTATATATTTGCTAACATGTAATTTTTTTTTCAAGAACAGATCTTGACAATCTGATTGGTTCCATTTAACTCCTCTTTAAAGGCTGATTCTTTAACTAATTTCACAAGTTCTAACTTTGTTTCATAGGTCTAGTCTTTACAATAGCATTGTTAAAGGTTTGGGTTACCTTTCTACTTGGATCTTCCAAGTAAGCTTCTGTTTTCCTACCTGGTTTTTATGATTTACATAATCTAAGAACTTATCTTGGATTCATATCACCCAGTATCAGTTTGTGTTTCTTCATACAATGTTGCATGAATGCCTAGACCTTCCAGTCATGCTGGTATGACATGGGTTACAGGTGTCTTATTCCAACCAATCACAGAAGACAGTTAACCATAACACAGAAAGAATTACAAATTTTCACTGTCACTGAGATTTGAACTTTAGACCTGCCACTTGAAGGTTGACAACCTATCCACTTCACTAGGTCACCACACCTTCTGCCTAGAAGTTTTATTAGTAGTATATTTTTATTTTCTATATAAATCTTATTTTACCACTAAAATCATATGATAAATGATCTACATATCCTTTACCCTTTCAGAACAGTCTTTATAAGATTAATCTAATTCTATATAGCAATGAATTCTCTATTATAATTTCAGATTTATTAAAACTTAAGGTTATCAATTAGTTGTAAGTTTATTCTTAATTATTAGAGGTTAAGTACATAGGCAGTGAACCTTAATTCGTATATGAACTTTAACTATCTAGTTTATTTTAATATTAAAGACCGAACTTAGTTTGAACTGAGTTTTTAACCATATAGTTTATTTTATTTTTGAACTAACTAAACTGGACCAAACGAACTAAGCAATCTTCCTATCTAAACGTTGGTTCTAAATATTTTGTATATATCATTTTTGCGAACAATCTAAATGAATAGGATGATTATGTACATAAAGTGCATAAATATAGCAAAAAGCTCGTGTTTTTTTCAAATATACAACCCTAATTTGTAGATGGGTCAAATGAGCTTTTTACGTAGATAGTGATAGAAAAATAAATATGCTATCAAATTCACATCTTGCATTATTACATCCAATAATTTGTATTTTAAGAAGCCATAAGCACAAACTTTTTGTAGATAAATATTAAACTTAGGGCGAACATAAAACTACCATGTTGAATAAGACGATTACTATCAGAGCCAAGTTGATAAATGTCTCTTTGGATATTACTCTAGAACTAATTATCATCTTTAAAAAATCCTGATCACCTTTATTCCGTTTAGCAATACATAAAGTATCCGCATAAAATAATATTACTCCTCAAATATTATTCACAATATCTGCAACATATTCTTGAATAATACGTGAGATAAAACTATATTCATTTATTACTTTCCATATGAATATTCTCTAAATATGGTAACCACTTCTGTACAAAGTATCCCGGGCAAGTTGTACAATTTTGATTCCAAAGTCTTTTTTAACATGCCCCATCCAAATGTCCGAAGATATTTAACTTTGCTATACAAGTAAATAAAAATATACGATTAGGCCATATAAATTTAATATCTTGGTTTTCATGAAACTTTTAAATAGACATGACCGGCTTTTTTTTAATTCATACAGTACCGGACAGCAAACAACATCCACTCTTTATATATAAAATGTAAGACTAATTATAACTCAGAAACAAATGACTTAAAAAAATCTGCTTTACAGATTTGTTGCTTTTAGTTTAAGTTACAGCTCTGTTAGGATAGATTTTTATTTTTCCTAGAAGATTGAAATGTTATTCAGCTTAGAATTTATGTGTAATCAAAAATTGGCGCCCAACAAGTAAAAAAGAATTGATTATATGCATTTTGACCAATCAAAATTGGGTATATTCAAATTAACCAATCAGAATTGACTACATAATTCTCAAATCTGGCGCTTCAAAATAATATTGTATTTTTTTGCCGCCCGGTACTGTGTATAAAATTGGTTTAAAACCCACCCGGTTATATCCTTTTTTTTGTTCTAAATATTTTTGCTTAGAATGAGAATAATTTATCTCAATAAAAGTTTGAGTAATGTTAATTTAACTTTTTTGTTCAAATGCTAAAAAATGTCCAAACTCATGTTCAAAGTTGACACATGACATCCTTGCCTTCGGGTACTAAAATGGAAGGTTAAACAACAATAACCTAAAAACTCAGGATTGAATTTCAATAATGTCTTCAGTGTCACTCGAGCCAAGAAAATCTTCCAAAGCACTTCGATCATCTGCTGTTTCAAGTACAACTTGATCTAACTTAGCTATAACATCATCTTCAGATTGATATTGTATTGACCGTATAGAATGTGCTATTCATCATAAAAGAAATGATCTTTTTAATCATGGCAGTTGAAACCAAAAATTTACTAATTATTAAAAATAGCTCATACCATTAAACATAGAAGGATCTATTACTCGATTTCGATAATCTTCCATTTGCGCTTCAAAATTGGCTTGGTAAAGCTGTATCCTCTGAACCTGATGATTAGTTATAAACTCTTCATAATGTTGTTGATACAGTACTCTTTTTTCTTCCAGCTCCTCACTAAATAGAAGAAAGTGGTAAAAACCAATTTATAATTAGGAAAATGAAAGACTAACAAGGTCCGAAGGATTATGCTAATTAGTCATTTATATATGTTGTAAGTGGAAACGGACTTAAGTGGATTCGGAATTTTTATATCAAAGCAGTATTTTGGGGTTGATTTTATCATATATATGTCGTAAGTGGGATTAAGTGGATTTGGAATTTCCTATTTAAATTGGGGTTAGGGTTAGGGTGTATATATGACAAAATCAACCCCAAAATGCAGGTTTTATATAAAAATCCCGAATTCGTTTCCACCTACAACATATACACCCTAACCTATCCTAATTTAACTAGGAAATTCCACTTACGACATATACATGGTTGTTTATGATCTGATCAATCAATTAAAAATTGAAACAAATGAACAACCAAAATTCTAAATTTGTTAGCACATAGACATCAGGTACACTATTGTTCCGTCAGTTACGTCCTTCGGACAATAATTTAAAGACATACTTTTTTTCATTGACATGTTTGTTAAACAAAAGGCGTTGTTGCTGCTTCCATTCCTCGAATTCTAACTCATCGTTGCCTTTTGCAAAGTCGTCAATCATTTTCTCTATCTCTGTTAACTTTCCTTTTAGAGAAACTTATTAACGAAAAAACAGAGGTATAAGCCATAAAAAATTAGTATGAATTTAAAAATAATAAATAATACATCTACTTCTAACCTGCAGACATTGCCATCTCTTCGATCATTTCCTTTACTTTAGGTAACTGATTAGATTCTGACTTGACTAATTCGCATGCTTCATGACGGCTTTCACAAGTTTTAAGTATTCTCTGAATTAATTCATCGGCAACCTAAAGTATGACATAATATTAACTTTAGGCCAAAAGCTAACACTAATCAAATCAAAATGACATGAACTACTTACTGCTGCATTTCGAAAGTTTTTTTCGTCTTCCATTCGAATAGTATTCCATTCACGTTCATATCTTTAAAATAGAAATGTTACTCATGGATCTATTAAAACTAACCAAATTTTAAAATATATAAATGGGTACCTGGCTGCGAGTTCTGTTGTAGCAGGTATATCTATCTTAGGCACAGAACGAAACTTACTAGAACTAATATAACAAGTTATAACATTTGGTTGCAAAAATATTTCGTGACAAGTGAATGCACATACGCACATACCTTGGAGTCGAGACTGCCGCTGAAATGGCTCCTAATCGCGGGCCGAGTCCCGGTGACAACAATTCGACTATAGTTGTTAAGTTAAACCTTTTCTGCATTATGACAAAGGACGAAACTTAAAGCGGCAAAGAACGAAAGACGAAACCCCCGCGAAAGACAAAACGTAAAATCGGAAAAATACAAAAGGCGAAATTTGGCGAGACCTGGCGAAAGTAACAGCCCCGGTGAAAAAAATAAAAATTTATAAAGTCAAGAATTACAAGGGTGAATATCCGAATTTAAGGGTAGAGTACAACGTAGATCATTTCTATATATAATTAGTTGCAAAAAAAAATTTTTTTTTTTTTTTAAATATTAATGGTGAGGCCATAGCAAAAAAAATTTTATATAGTAACTACAAAATATATTACTAATAAAACTTTTTTATTTTTTAATTAATTAATAAAAA